TGAGTGTAATACCTGCATGTATATGTAGGTACACCTTTATGCAATGTCCACAGAGTCAGAAGAGGGTGTCAGATTCCCTGGAACTAGAGTTACAGGTGGTGGTTAGCTGCCATGTGGGTGCTGGAAATTGAACCTGGATCCTCTGTAAGAGCAACCTGTGCTCAACCACTGAGCCACCTCTCCAGCCCCACAATTTTTATTTTAATAAGTAAAACAAGTTTGATGTCTGCTTCCTAAAGCTGAGACCTAGCAAATAAATTACTACATTCTGACTATAGTTCACCTTGTTTTATATACCTAAAGATTTCTATAATACTTCTTGATAATGGCTGCCTCAATCCCTTGGTGCCTGATCTAGGGGGCCCCAGGAACATAAAAGATTTGAACTATCATTTCACCTTCCAGTTTTCTGACTTAAAATATTCCCAGCATGGTCCAGTGTGATGGCTCAATTGGTAAGGATGCTTGCTGCCAAGCCTGACAACCTGAGTTTAATCCTTGGTACCCACATAGTGGAGGGAGAAAACTGACTCCCAAATGTTGTTCCCTGACCTGCACATGAACACATAAATAAATGCAATTTTAAAAATTAAATACTTCCAGCAGCTCACTAAATGCCCGAATAAGCTAGGTATTTTAGTGACAGTGTTTGGGTAGTGAGTCATTTTACTTACAGCAAGGGATAGTTTTGTACTGTCTTAAACCAAATTGTCCATTTGGAAGAAAGGGTGCAGCAGTCCTTTGTTGCATCAGCTTATCTCGGGGTAAGCCTCCTTTGTCAGATGTTGTTCATTATTTGAAAGTTGGAATGAAAAATGGGACCATTATGTGTGCTGTTAAGAAATGCTCTCAGGGCTGGAGAGATGACTCGGGTTAAGAGCATTGGCTGCTCTTCCAGAGGATCTGGGTTCAGTTCCCTGCACCCACCTAGTAGCTCACAACTATCTGGAACTCGAGTTCCAGGAGATTGGACACCCTTTTCTGGCCTCCTCATCCCTTATCTGGCCTCATCACCCAAGAATTGCCTTCAGCATGGACATACAGCTCATGTGTAAGAGCCACCCTCGCTAAGAACCCTCATATACTAGAGCCACTCACATAACAACTCCAGACACTATGTCTAGGTATCTAGAGCAAGAGACATCACCCAGTTACGAGAGTCAGTACTGAAAGAAACAGCCATCTTCCCACGCAATCTTGCCTAGTAGTACATTGTAAGTTCCCTTAAGAATAGAGGTGGCAGCAGACCTTTGATCCCAGCACTCCAGGGACAGAATACGAGGCCAGTCAGGACTATAAAGTGAAACCCTGTCTCCAAAAACAAACAAATAGAGCTAGAAAGTCAACCCACCATCAAGTTTGTCCATGGAGCAGTTTGTTGATTCCTTATCTGCAGAGCCAGCACATCTAGCTGGCTTCATGAAGGAAGTGCCTCTTTTAAGTTTGAAACATTCTCGCTATGCTGCCAAACTTGGCCTCAAGTGATCTATCTCCTGAGTAGCTAGGACTACAGGCACATGCCACCACAGACTGGTTAGCGAGTGGCATTAAAGGTGGGCTTGGAAGGATGGCTAGACTTTACAAGCAAGAAAATAGGGCAGAAATAGTAAACGTAAAGTACTGGAAGTGTCTGAAAAATGGTAAACTGTCATGTCTGGAGAAAAGAGAATGCATGGCGAGGTAGAATAAAGGCCAGGAAAGCCACAGCTGCAGGGCCTTATACATCAAGTGAAGGCTTAGCCTTAATTCTGTTGGCTGCAGGCAGCCTGAAAAAGATTTTCCAGGCATAACCTGTCAAATCTTTGCATTAGAAGGATTAAGCACTATGCTTTGTAGACTGGATTGGAAAGCCAGAGAATATAATATCCTAGAAGCCACGTCAAGGGAGTTTCTCAGTAAGACTGGTAAGATGAGAAATTACAAAAAAGCTTTTGATTTGCATTTAGAAGGTCTTTTCCGTAGTATAATATGAAGACAAAGCAAATTTGCAGGTACAGAGTCAAAAAGCACTGGGAAGGATGTACATGTTTGTGATCCTAGCATTTTCGAGGTGGGGGCATGAGGATTGCCAGTTTGAGGCCAGGCTAGGCTTCGTGGTGAGACCCTGTATAAATAGATAATTTTTTTTTTTAATCTTTTCAAGTCAGGGTCTCTCTGTAGTCCCAGCTGGTCTGAAACTCACTATGTAGACCAGGCTAGCCTTGAACTCACAGAGATCTACCTGCCTCTGCCTCCCAAGTGCTGGGACTAAAGGCGTGCACTACCACACCTGGCGATAGATAGTTTGACAGGGTCTCCCTGTAGCTCCAGCTGGCCTGGAACTCACTATGTAGACTATGTTGACAGGGTCTCCCTGTAGCTCCAGCTGGCCTGGAACTCACTATGTAGACCAGGCTGGTCTTGAACTCACAGAGATCTGCCTGCCTCTGCTTCCCAAGTGCTGGGATTAAAGACTTGGGCCACCAAGCTCAGCTAGATAATGTTTTTAAAGGGAATTATCTAACTGATATAAAGGCAGAAGGCCAGTGTGATGGCTAATCTTGATTGTCAACTTGAGGGGATTTAGGATCACCATAGAAACAAAGTTTCTGGGCATGTCTGAGTGATTATCTAGATTAGGTTAATTGAGGTGGGAAGACCCATTCTAAATGTGGCAGGCACCATTCTGTGGACTGAG